AAGTGCATGCTTAAAATTAAGCACCTGTAACTATCTATTTCAATCGAATCTGCTTATGTTTAAAATTAAGTATGTTCCTAAGTACTCCTGGATTGGGCTCAGTATGTTCAGTATCTTGTAGAATTGATCTCATGTTTATTTCCCATAATACCTTATTCTCCATGAATGGATTATCACATTCTTTCTTATTGTACCTTTAGAATGTTAAAAGTATTAGACTGATATTTAGCTTCAAGTAATAGTTTCACTTAATGCTTGAGTATAACACCAATATTTACTAAAAGATTATGCTGTTAGTTTTGAATCTGTCAAATTTCTAATAGCTGTACAAAAGGCTTAAATGCCATGTGTTCCTCTTTCTGCATACAATTTCCACTTCTCCATGCTGTATACTATGCTTCCATTTCATCTGTTTCCCTGATCCTCCCTCATGCCTTGAAATTTCACTTGAGGAGGATCTCATTTTAGTTACATAGAGTAGATGTCAAGTAGTTTGGGGTATTTGTGTGCAGAATGGCTCTAGGTTCAGTCCTCTGGCAAGTATGTAAAAGGCTGGCCTGAGGTATTCAAGATGCTATAAGCCCGTGGTTCTCAACTGGGGGTCCATGGACCACTAGTGGTCCATGGTGACTTTTTCAGTGGTCCACAGGAACACTGTCCAAAGTCACACAGTGTAAGCAGGCACCACTGTTAGGCTGTTTTAAGCCATGTTCACAAGCATGCGGTACGTCTTCCATAGCATCACCTAGGACACAACCGCATTGTGTTGCCAGTAATTTCTGTCTGAGGCTCCGAGCGTCAGTGTAGCTGCCGCCGTCATGCTGAGTTGCTGCTGTGTCATTTGTCCTGTGCTACATATGCTGTATTACAGATGTGGTGTATCTTGTTTATAATGGCAACAACAGGAAGAAATGTCAAGAGCAAGTATTTGGAGGACTACATCAAATTCGGCTTCACTTGTCAAGAAAAAGGTGTGGATTTGCCACAATGTGTTACAAGTGCATTCTACAATAAGACAAACAATGCAGTGCATGCTCCCTACATTGTTGCATACAAAATTACACAGGCCAAGAAGCCTCATACCATTGTAGAGCAACTTGTGCTCCCACGTGCAAAAGAGATGCTGCGGCTTGTTCATGGCGAGGAAGCAGCAAGGAAGCTGAATGATATATCTGTCTCTAACGACACACTATCGAGACGGATAAATTAGATCACAGAACATCAGTGAACAAGTTGTGGATGAAATAAAGAAGTCTCCATTGTTTGCCATACAATTGGATGAATTGACCGACATAGCATTGTGCTCTCAGCTATTGGTGTTCGCACAATACATGGTTGAGGGAGACTTCAGAGACGAGTTTGTAAGCCTCTTGATACCACCACAAAGGCTCAGGATGTGATTGGAAATTGTTAACAATTTCTTTGAAGTACATGGTCTGGATTGGGTAAATCTTATGGGTGTCACCACTGATGGTGCACCTGCCATGCTGGGCTCAAGATCCAGCTTCCAAATGCTGGTGAAACAGCATGCTGCAATGGTAACCGGAGTTCATTCCTTCATTCATAGGGAAGCTTTGGTGTCAAAAACATTGCCTGATCAACTGCAAGCCATTTTCAAAGGGTTGGTGAATCACATCAAATCATCGGCTCTGAACACCAAGCTGTTCAAAAGATTTTGCCTGGACATGGGTTCTGACTTTGCTGTTCTACACTTCTTCTGTACAGTGGTTGTCAGCAGGGAATGTACTCAACAGAGTTTTTCAATTGAGAGAGGAGTTGGATTTATTTCTCCAGGTTCAAAGGAAAGAGGAATTCCGAAATGTGCTGATCCAGTCAAATGTAGAACTTGCTTATCTTGTCGATATTTTTGGAATCTTGAACAAACTGAATCTTCAGCTGCAAGGGAAAGGTGCAAATCTGTTCTTTCACCAAAGCATCATCAAGGCTTTTCTTGACAAATTGAAACTCTGGATCATAAGAGTCGAAGGTAATCATTTGGTTCAATTTCCAAAGGGGGGGGGGGAAGGAAGCCATTTGGATGCAAATTCTCAATCATTTATGGAAGCTACGAGACTAATTCCAATGATACTTTCCGGAAGTGGACAGGACAAGGGATGGATTATCTTTCATCAGGAATCCATTTACAACAGATGTTAATAGTGTTCCAGAGGATCTTCTTGGATCTGAAAAATGATTTTGCGGCTTAAAACATGTACCAGCAGTCTACCATAGAGAAATTTTGGGCCACTGTGACCGGGAATTACCCAAATCTGTCCACACGCAGTCAGATTTCTTTTGCCATGTGCATCAACGTATGTGTGAGTCTGGATTTTCGTGTTTGTTCCACATTAAGACCAAACAGAGGAATTGGCTTGCAGTGGAAAGCAGTATTCATTGTGCATTATCAAGTACCATTCCAAACATTGAAAAACTTGTCAATGAGAAGAGAATCCAAAAATCTGTTGGTAAGAAATAAATTTCAAACCAAAATGTTTGTTGTCTGCTCTTTTATGTCTCAAAGGAGGTGGTCCATGAAATTTTTTTGATTGGCCTGGTGGTCTGTGGACTGAAACGAGTTGAGAACCACTGCTATAAGCACATCTTTTCATGTATTTGTCTTGTTAAGCTATCAAACATGAATATACCAAAAGAATTCCTAGGACTATATCCTGAAATGCATTTCCATGTAACTGGCATGCATATACACTTGAGCTATGCAAATTGTGTAGCTTGTTTCAAGTTAATTTTGAAGTAGCTTATTTTGTAACTTGGCACTGTCTACACTGTGCCAAATTTCAAAATATACTGCTGTTCCGAAACGTCCCTTAATCCTCGTGGAATGAGATTTACAAGAACATCGGAATAGCAAGCCTATTATTTCAAAATAACGGGCTTGTTTCAAAGATGTGGAATAGCTATTTTGGGTTACCAAAAAGATACTGAAATAGCACCATGGTGTAGACATACCCTGAGAGACTTACTGTCTGCAGACAGTAGCCACTACCTAATAAGAGTAGGATCAGGACAGAACTCCTGATCTCACTTTCAGGGAAAATATCTGCAGGTGCAGAAAAAATAGCTGTACAAAGTTTAAATCCAGTTGTCACCAGATGGCACAGTTGCATTTAGTCTTACAAGATCTCATTATTGGTGTGAGTACTTTACTTTCTTTGAAGAAATATTTGACCTTTCCTGTGGCAAGGGGTAAAAGGGAGTTTGTTCTAGTCCTTAATCTTTTAAACTAGTCAGCTATTGAAACAGTTGCCTCCTGAGAATCTGTTTTGGTTGGAATTTTGTGACCACCAATACCAGCCCTTGACAGAGGTGACCACCTGCATACTGTTTGTGACCACCTCTGTCAAGGGCTGGTGCATATAATGTAAAATTAACTAGTTGTATTAAGTATTTAACCATTCCTTGAATCACTGATTTGTCCTAACAGGAAGCTGACTTGTAAGGCCCTGATACCTGCTTCCATTGCTGATTACACATACCAGTTACACCACAGGCTTTGCAAAGAATTTTATATAGAGAGACACACAATTAAATTATTTTTACCCTTACATTGTTTTCAGATGTTATCACAAGTACCAAAAACTGGGTTTACAGTGACCATGGAATCAAATGAAAGAATTAAAGGTCCCACTGTAATGAGCAGAAGAGTATGATCAAAATATAGGAGAGGAGGTTCACAGAAATGTAACTTGCATTGTGTAGTGTATTCCATTATCTACAAATCTAATTTGAAATAAGTGTTCATGCATATCTTGAAGTTTGTAATTATTTGTTTAAAAAATTGTACAAATAAGTAATACTTTGACTCTTGGTCAGTGTTCTCTATGTGCACTATATTCAATTAATTGAAAGAATATGCATGGAGGGATGAGTGATTAAATTGTATTAAATAGAAATATTTGAACTGATGTGCCAACTTGCTAATACTTATAAATTATGAAAATGTTAAGTGGTGCTAACGTCTGATCATTTTTGTAGTTAAGAATAATGTTCATGAAAGTAAGAAATTTAGGACTGATGTGATCTAAGGGGACAGCTTGCACATGTACCTTAGTCCTGTTCTGCAGCATCGGATATGATCATGCTGCTCTTGCCACAGGGACAGATATACATACTGAAGGTCTAGAAGAAATAAAAGGTTAGTGTGACCTTGGAAACCCCTACTCACGCAAGAAATCTCACTGAAATCTATCAGTAGGACTAAGGAACAGCTACTGGTATAAGGGCTTGTATATTTTGAAGCTCTAGTGCGGGGCTACTCAATTAATTTGTGGCCCACAGTGTGATTTGGGTTTACATGGGGCTTAACGTGCAGTCTGCGGGTGGGATCCTTTGAACACTGGGTACGTGCTCCACAACGGCGAGGCATTTCCCAGGTGGGGTGAGCATTGAAAGACGCAAGCGGACGGGCTGGCTGGAACAGATAGATACAGAGTGTCAGTGTTTCTGGCCTCCAGGAAGGAGGTGCTGGGAACACCCGGGTATTGTGGGAAGTGCTAGCTGCTTACCCTTGTGGGCAGAGCATGAGAGGTGCTGACTGGCTCAAACTGGTCACGTTTGGGGTCCGGTGCCACGGCCAGGCAGCCTTGCCTCTGTCCTGCATGGAGCGATGGACTCCTGCGTGGGGATGTTGGCCCTGCTGGGAATCCAGGACTGGGCTCCCAGGCATGTCCTTTTTTGCTTCTCGTGTCCAGCCTGACTCACCCAGCTTCCTGCCTGCCACATGTTGGAGTGCTCTGGCTTGGAAACTTTTTCTGAGTAAAATCACTCCAAGAAACGCACAACCTGAGGCTTCAAGCTGAACACCCAAAACACTGGTATACAATTTTCTTTTAAAAAGTGCTGATTACAAGTGCTGTCATGGGTGGAAATCAGATAAATATTGCATTTTATTAATATCAGCAGAACTGCTAAAAAGGGGACCTGCGTGTTGTGTAGTCTTGCCTTTATAATATTCATGTCCATCAGTGTGAAAGAGGTTATTTGCATATACATATTTGCATATACCACACTTAACAGATGCCGAGAGCTGCAACTTGAGTAGCATTGTGGGCCCTGGGGCTTCCAAAGTTGAGTAGAGCTCTAGAGCTACAATCCTGCAAACTTTATGCAGAGTATAAGTAATCATATGGACTAGGCGGGATTATTAATACTGTATTCTGACTTTTGTGAAATTACTCACATGCTTACATTTTAATACGTGCATGTTTGTAAGCTAAGGAACTAGGTTTTTTACCTTTGTTTCAAGAAATGTTCTAATTCTGCAATAGGTTTGCAGATTCTGTATTGCTCACTTTGTATTGACAATGAGGAGTATTTGCCTAAAATTAAAGTAAGGGTGATCAATTCTGAAGGAGTCAAAGATACTTAGGTAACCACATTTCATTGACTTCTAATTTGATTTTAGTGCAAGCAACCTTTAGGCTCCTTTAGAAATTCCTAGCCTACAGTAGTATGTCCTAGGTTTCTTAAAGAACCACAGCCAAAGTTGCAACCATATTACAAAGCTGGAAAGAATATTCAAGGAAGAAAGAGGGACATGCTTATCCTACATTGGGAGGTCATAAGTATGCTAATAGGGTGGTCTCTTCTATACTACAAAGCACTTATGTAACTTAGCATAATTAATTTTAATTTCCTTAGACAAACATTAGATTCCTTTTTGTGCTAGGCTAGCCTGTTGTCCTATATGGCCTAATTCTTTAACATCTTATTGATTCTTAATATGACTAGCTTCCCCTTATGAATCTCTTACTCCAGGATTGGCTTTTAGCCCTGCATATTTAAACACAGGTTTGGTACATTCAACCCCTCGTGCATTCAATTCAGTCCTATTTAATGTAAGATAATTAGCTAGATTGCATTCTTTAGTGCACATAATCAGGAGGTTGGAAATGCTAATGTAAAACATTCACATATGCTTGTTGCAGTGTTACCATCAGTGTCTCTTAAAATACTGTAAGAACTTGTACTGGAATTAATTATCTTGCTCCACTCCATCTGAAGAAGCGGGTTGTACTCATGAAACCTCATGATACTATTTATATTCTTTTGTTAATCTCTCAGGTGCTACAGGACCACTTTTAAGTGTTGGTTTGTTTTTATTTCTAAGTTAGGGTATGTCTACACTACAAAGTTAATTCGAACTAACAGCCGTTAGTTCGAATTAACTTTAATAGGCGCTACACATGCAAACCGCTAGTTCGAACTTAATTCAAACTAGCGGAGCGCTTAAGTCGAACTAGGTAAACCTCATTCTATGAGGACTAGTGCCTAGTTCGAATTAAGGGCTGTGTAGCTACTTAATTCAAACTAGTTGGAGGCAAGCTCTTCCCAGCTTGCCCCGGTGGCCACTCTGGGCCAAGCCAGGGAAACTCTTCTGTCCCCCTCCTAGCCCCGCAGCCCTTAGAGGGCCACGGTCTGGCTACGGTGCTCATGCCAGGTGCAAGCCTGCCACTACCCAGCCAACAGACCCTGCACCTGGCACGGCATGAGCCAGCCACCCACTGCTACCCAGCCCTCCGCCTCTTCCCAGGACCAGGCTGGTGGCTCCCTGGGGCCGCAAGAGGCGGGTGCCTGCCTGGTTTAGTGCGGACATCGTGGACTGCATCCAGGTTTGGGGGGAGGCCTCCAACGTCCACAATCTCCGCACTAGGCACAGGAAAGCAACCATCTAGGGCAGGATAGCTTCCAGCCTGGCTATCAAAGGCCACATGCAACATGAAAATCAAGTTGGTTCAGTGAGACCCCCGCCCCTGAGTCCTGAGCTTAGAACATAACGGCCATACTGGGTCAGACCAAAGGTCCATCTAGCCCAGTAGCCTGTCTGCCAACAGCGGCTAACACCAGGTACCCCGGAGGGGATGGACCGAATTCGTCTTGTGCCATCTATCTCCAGCTTTCCACAAACAGAGGCCAGGGACACCATTCCTACCCCCTGGCTAATAGTTCTCCATGGACCCAACCTCCATGAAATTATCTAACTTCTCTTTAAACTGTTACAGTTCTAACCTTCACAGCCTCCTGTGGCAAGGAGTTCTGCAGGTTGACTATGTGCTTTGTGAAGGAGAACTTTCTTTTATTAGTTTGAAGCCTGCTACCCATTAATTTCATGTGGTGTCCTCTAGCCCTTCTATTATGGGAACTAAAGAAGAACTTTTCTTTATGCACCCTCTCCACACCACTCATGTCCCCTCTGTCTCCTTTTTTCTAAACTTAAACGTCCCAGTCTCTTTAGCCCCTCTTCATATGGAACCTGTTCCAAACCCCTGATCATTTTTAGTTGCCCTTTTCTGAACCCTTTCCAAGACCAAAATATCTTTAAGGTGAGGAGACCACATCTGTACCATAGTTTGATACTTCCTCCCCCTCCTTCTTCCCCCTTCCAGCTCCCTCCTCCCAGGTTTCCCCCTCCCCTCTCCCACCTCCTTTAGGAATTCCCTGCCTCTTCTGAAGGATGCACACTAGGACTTTTTTCCCAGACAGGAAAATGACAGAGAGATAGAAGTGCCCCTTATGATCCTGGGTGACCCAACCTACCCCTTCCTCCCATGGCCGATGAAGCCATACATGGGTAGCCTGGACCCCAGGAAGGAGTTCAATGACAGGCTAAGCAGCTGCAGCATGGTGGTGGAATGTGAATTTGGACATTCAAAGGGTAGATTTAGGAGTTTCCTTACCCAGTTAGACCTCAGCAAATGCAACATTCCCTTTGTGGTGTTGACCTGTTGTGTGCTCCATAATCTGTGCGACAAACAAGGGAGAAACTTACTTGGCACGGGGGGAGGGGACTGAAACAGAGCGCCTAGCCAGAGTTTGAGCAGCTGGCCACCAGTGTCATAAGGAGAGCATACATGGGGCAGAGCAAATCAGAGAGGTCTTGAAGGACAGTTTTGAGATGTTTCCTCATGGCTCCCTACAAGTTGCCCCTGTATTCCCTGTGTTTAACTTTAATTCCCCACCCCTGCAAGTATTCACACTAAAGAGACCATTGTGCAAAGAACAGGAGTTTTTATTGGGGGGGGGAGGAGAATGCTGGGAAAGGACAGAATTAGGCACTCAAAGGTGGAAGGGGGCTCAGGAATGTGGCTGGGGATCGCCTTCTGCCTCCTGGGACCCTGGTGGCCCCTGGGAACTCTGTGAGGGGGAACCACAGGGCTGGGGGAGGAGAGACCAGGGGTTATCATTGGAGCAGGCATGGAGGAGGCCTTCTCCATGCACACTACCAGGTGCTCTATAACAGTGGTCAGGGAGGCTAACATGGTTTCAGCCTGTCTGGCCTGCTGCTCTCCTGTAACCTGGCAATCTGGTCCAGGTACTCGGCTCACATCTCCTCCATGAGGAAGTGAATGCAGTCCATCTGCTTGTGGATCATTTCTTCTTTGAGGAGTGTCTCCGTAGGTGCGCCATGGTCAGCAGCTTTCTAGTAACTGTGCCCTGTTCATCTCATGCACACAGCCAACTGCCTCCTCAGTTCTTCTCTGACCGCCGCCGGCTTCAGTCACAGAAGAGCAGTTGCCCTACTTCACCTTAGCCTTTAAATTCCTGTTAAATGTTGTATTTAGGTTTTAGTTGAATTGTAAATAGTTTAGATTACTCTTATCTATCATTAAAGAGGGGGAAAAAAAGAGGAACAGAAATGGGGGAAGACTGGGAAGCTTCCCTAGCTCTTGGGGATTGGATGCTGGCTACTCTCCTCCTCCCCCTCCATCATCACACTGTTCTGCATGCTGACACCAGGCGTGTCGTAGGTGGATTCCATGACCACACTGGGGGAGCTGGCCGCCCCCACAATATCGCATCCAGCTGCTCATGGTAGTGGCACATGTGAGGTGCTGCCTCAGGACATTGGCTCACCTCCTTTGCCTTATGGTAGGACTGCCTGGCTACGTCTAGACTGGCCCATTCTTCGGAAGAGGCATGCTAATTTCTAACTTTGGAATAGGGAAATCCGCGGGGGATTTAAATAAACATGGCCGCCGCTTTTTTCCCGGCTTGGGGAAAAGCCGGAAAAGAGCGTCCAGACTGAAGTAGGAATAAGAGATCCTCCAGAAAAGGGCTTTATTCCGGAGGATCACGCCAGTCTGGACGCTCTTTTCCGGCTTTTCCCCAAGCCGGAAAAAAAGCGGTGGCCATGTTTATTTAAATCCCGTGGGGGATATTTAAATCCCCCGCGGATTTCCCTATTCCAAAGTTAGAAATTAGCATGCCTCTTCCGAAGAAGGGGCCAGTCTAGACGTAGCCCCTGAGTGCTTTGATCTTTACTCAGTATGGCTGGGCACTCCTGGCAGGACCATAACAAGGGTGGGGCAAGCAGGGTGCTAGCTCTGGGCACATCATAATCGGGGCACAAAGATGCAATAAGTAAAAATAATCTGCAAAAGTAAGGAGAGGGGGGTGCATAATTAATGTATTGCCCTGAGCACAAAAATACCTACTTATGGTGTTGATCCCTGGAATATCCTTTAGCTGCCAAGCAGCTTACGATCCTTCCATATATGTCAGCATTCCTCTTGCCAGTTCGGCGTTCTGAGGGGATGGACTCCTCTCCCCATGCCTGGATGATGTCCAAGATCTCCTGGATACTCTGTGTTGGTGCCCTTCAGTGCCCCTGGGATCTGGTACCTGTGGGAGCAGAAGTATTGGAAGTCGTTGCGGTGTTTGGTGGAATGTTCAAACTCATCTTCACATGTGCTGTGGTGTGCTGCTCCCTCGGCATGGGCTCACAATTCTGGCCACACAGGAAATGCCACTCATTTCCCTGGGGCTTTATGACCTCTCCAGGAGAGCAGTAGAGGTGCAAGTGCTGGCCAGAGCAGTCACAGCGCAGAAGGGCTCCTCGAGGCCAATAGCCTTGACTTTCAGCCAACTCTATCTATGCCACCGTAAATTCAACCATGCAAGGTTGGCAGTAGCGTTACTCCTCATGGAAAGCAGGAGTACTGAAATCCACTTCAGTGGCTCCTAAGGGCATCACAACTGGCTCAATAGTGTAGACCATCACTTAGAAAATTGACCGTAGGTGGCTAAATTGGATGTAAAGTCCTGGAGTAGACCAGGTCCCCATGTCTCTGGGTTAGATCTGCATCGCCTTTGAATTTAATTTTCATGCCATGTGATAACCTGGGGGGGGGGAGGAGGAGGAAGTGAGACAGTGTTGGAATAACTCTGTCTAGAAATATCATTGTAATTATTAGAAGTTTTATGTTAAGTGCCTGAATACTTACACATGAGTAAAATTATTCACGCCTAAATTTTATAGGATAAGGTGCTAACATCTTGCCCGCTACACAGCTGTACTTTTTAAATCATTTTCATGTCTCTGACCCTGACAAAAGCTACTAAGGCTTCATCTACACTGCAGGATTTTGCGCAAAAGCACGTCCAGATCTCAACGTGCATCACAAAAGTGATGTGCTTTTGCGCAAGAGAGTGTCTACACTGCATGGACGCTCTCACACAAGAAAGCTCTGAGCACCTGTGCTTTTTCTGATAGGGGTTTATTGCACAAGAAACCCCTTCAGAGCATCCACACCTGCCTTTTTGTGCAAGAGCAGTAGTACAAAAAGGAGGTATTCTTTGTGGGGAAAGAAATAACTCTACTAGCAAAAGCTCTCTGTTCTGTCGATTTTTCTTGTGCAAAAGCGTGCTTGAGGTGGTTTTTGTGCAAAAACCTTATAGTGTAGACACAGCCTAAGTATTTTATATAGTATAAGAAGTTACCATTTTATCTCCTCTTAAGCTCCAGGAAGAAAATTCTATATTGAAACTACAACAGCAACCACTCCTATTCTGTTTTTTATACCAGTTAGGCATTTCCCATGTTTTGAGTCCGGACTAAAAAAACAAAACAAAAAAACTGGAAGTGGAAAATGGCTCTTTAGTATTAGTGGGGAAAGGTTACAGGTCACAGTCAGTTGCTTGTATAATACTTTAGGGCCTAATTGTGCAGGCAGCTCTCATAGGAGCAGTCCTTGTTTGCTGAAGTCGAGGGGACTTCCCCAGGAGAAATTTAGGCCAAAATATCTCTTTGAAGGATTGTAACTGTAATTTCAGATGAATCACAGCCTATGTAAGAACTACCCTGGAATTATTTATATTATATATTTCAGTGATTAAAATAGATACATATTTGGTAGAGATTTGACTTAATTAGATATTAAGTCTTTTTGCAAATTGTATTTAAAAAGTGTAAAAGTAAATTACAGTTGGGTGCTTTTGATTTCAAGTGTTTCCAGCTTAAGGGGAAAACTACTTAATGCCGCCTGTATATTTTTGTGTGTGTATAATAGAATTGTGTACTCTTTGTGATTCCCTGATGCACGCAGTGTGTAAAAACCCAAGTCTAGTCAGAGGTCCTCTTCCTGTACACAAACTAGCAACAAGGAAGTTTCTCTCATTGCTTTCCACTACAGTTACCTTAATAGGTTATAAAAGTGCATAGTGAAAGGTAACTTCCTGTCACAATAATCTACTATATAGTTGAGAGACTTTGTCTGCTCACGAACTCATACTCATAGACTTTAAGGTCAGAAGGGACCATTATGATCATCTAGTCTGACCCCCTGCACAGTGCAGGCCACAGAATCTCGCCCACCCCTCTTAGAATAATCCTCTCACCTATGTCTCAGATATTGAAGCCTTCAAATACTTTGAAGGCCCCAACATGCAGAGAGTCCTTCAGCTGTGATCTGTGCCCAATGCTACAGAGGAAGGCGAAAAACCTCCAGGGCCTCTGCCAATCTACCCTGGAGGAAAATTCCTTCCTGACCCCAAATATGGCGATCAGCTAAACCCTGAGCATGTGGGCAAGACTCCCCAGCCAGACACCCAGAAAGTTCCCTATAGCAACTCCTATCATCCCTCCATTGACCTATTTCCAACTGATAATGAATGGTCAATTAGTTACCACGATCATGTTATTTCATCCGACCATCCCCTTATCTTAGAATCATAGAACTGGAAGAGACCTCAGAAGGTCGTCAAGTCCAGCCCCCCGCTCTAGGCAGGACCAATTCCATCTAAATCAACCCGGCCAGGGCTTTGTAAAGCCGAGACTTAAACACCTCTAGGGATGGAGACTCCACTACTTCCCTAGGTAACCCATTCCAATGCTTCACTACCCTCCTAGTAAAAATAGTTTTTCCTAATATCCAATCTGGACCTCTCCCACCACAACTTGAGACCATTGCTCCTTGTTCTGCCATCTGTCACTACTGAGAACAGCCTCTCTCCATCCTCTTTGGAACCTCCCTTCAGGAAGTTGAAGGCTGCTATCAAGTCCCCCCTCACTCTTCGCTTCTGCAGCCTAAACAGACCCAAGTCCCTCAGCCTCTCCTTGTAGGTCATATGCTCCAGACCCCTAATCATTGTGGTTGCCCTCCGCTGGACCCTCTCCAATGCTTCCGCATCCTTTTTGTAGTGGGGGGCCCAACTCCTAAACAGTAAAATCAAGGACCACCAAATTCGCTATACAGCATCCTCTGATCATAACTTAAAGCAAGGTTAGGGTTTGGTTGTGCAGAAAAATAGGATGTGACTAGAATAGGATTGCTTCTCAGAAAACCATACAGAAAGGAGATAGGTGAAGGGACTAAATGAGGGCACCCCCCAATCTGGAACTGTCCCAGTCCTGAGCCTCCCATCCACCAGACACTTTAATGAGGGCAAGATGGCTGAAGCTCTCCCTTCCCAGATTTGTACAGGACATTGCTGGCTGTTCCCCTTCATCAGGGAGCAAGGGGACTGTGCACAGTTTTCTGCCCCTTACTCTGGCTGGGGAGCGCAGAGGGCAGATGAGCTGTGCACTTTGCTCTCCCTCCCTGACAGGAATAGGAAGGAGAAGAGCAAGAAGCCCTGATATGAATCTTGGAGGGAGGTGTCCCTGTGTCCCCTACTCATTCCCTTGTCCTGAGATCCTGCACTCCCTCTGCCTTGAGCCCCTCCTTAAAGACCCAAGCAATGCCAGGTAAATGTGCTAGTAATATTTTAAAAACTCATTCTGAGAGCTACTAAAGGAAATTACTTAGATTATTGAGAGTGTGTTTATCTGAATTAATCTGACAGCATGCAGTTTTACTTCACTCCATTTAGATAAACGGAAACTCATTAACCTTCATTAGTTAGCTTTTAGTTAACTTTGTACAAATGCAGAACTAGAAAACAATGCTAAAATGTGTGCATTGTAGGCACTGATGAGGAATCCTAAACTCCAAGCCAAAATTGTCCTTTAAATACATTATTTAAAGGTGCTTTCCCAAAGTATTTAATAGTTTGTGCAGAAATTTTTGGCTCCCTCTGATTCTTGTAAAACCCAATTTTAGGCTAAAGAGGGATACTTGCTTAAACTGTAATTTGTTTTCCTGCTTGTAGTAATGTTATAACTGTGTGGGTCCCAAAATATTAGAGGGGAGATGAATGAAAATCTTTTACTGGACTATTTTTTGTTGGTGGTGGTGAAAGAGAAAACAGAAGTTGGTCCAATAAAAGTTACTACCTCATCCAGCTTGTCTGTTTTCTTCCTGGTTCATTATTTTGTTGTTACCACTTTAAAGCTAGTTTGTAACATTTGGTTTGTTTATAATGTGAAGCTTCCTCTTCATGCAAATCTTCACCTTCCTTCTCTGGGTATTGTATAGTCTGAACCGCCCACGTGAGTCACTTTTGCTTTCATTCAGATACTGCACTGTGGCACAGTCTCTTAAATCTGTAACTGGCAACTCTTTATGAAGGAAAGAAAGTAAAAAGCTGGATCAGTGGGGGGAGCCTCCTATTTTTTTATACCAGAGTCTTCAATTCTCTCTCTCTCACACACACACACACACACACACACTTGGATTCAGCACCTAAATTCTGTTAAATCTGGCCAGTCTCTGGCTCTAACCACTCTAATTCTGCCATATGAAGAGAGAACAGCTGAATGCTCTTCTTACACCAAAAAACACCTGATCCCTAATGCAGCAGGATCCAGCAATGCTGGAAATAGGTCAATTTGGCACCTGGATTCTGCCAGGGTCTAGCTCTCCACAGATTCCACTGCCTAAACAGAAATCCTCTTTTGCCACTCTTGTTGCACCTGAGAACTCAGGAATTGTCCCATCAAAATAGAGAACAAGTGGCACTTCTAGCACTCGAGGAAGAAATTCTGGCCTCTAGTAAATCCTGGTAGAAGAAAGCTGTAAAGACTCACCTGCATCCCACTACATTTAGCTATTTGTGACTTCGGCCCCTCCTCCCCAGTTTTACCAATTAATGCAGTACCGTCAGATACAGTTTCTACCAGAATAATCCAGACCATACTGGAAAATGGAAATGTTTCCTAAGATGCCGAAACAATTTCTGAGTTACCAGATCAGACACTAGATCCCAGTTTTTTGCCTCCTTGCTGAGCTGGGGCCCATGAGGTTCGACTGTTGCATCTGGAGTCTATTCTCTATTTAGGCAGAGACTGTTTCCCCCCGAGGAGCAAAAATTCAGATCCGTCCGGCCGCCTGTACCCTGTCCTAGCGGTTTAAACCATTTGCTCTGAGGTGCACCGGGCCCTATGGGGGCTTTGCTGAGAGAGGGAGGTCTCTGCACACTCGTTCTGTATTTTTGTGGGCGGATCAGGGGAATCCTAGTTGGATCAAACAGGAGCTACGTGCAGGAGCAAGGCTGTTGCAATGGGATCTTGGCAGCCCCGGCGTTAGATTCGGTATCCTAGGAGAGCTTCGATTTGTTCTCCATTTAACAGTGGAATGGGAGGGGGTTGCTACTGCGGCCAAAAAATAGCTGGATCTGTCCAGTTTTCCCCCGGCCCCACCAAAACCTAGCGGGCCTGCTTGAGCAGAAAAGCCCCCCACGTGGTGCTGGGGCCTCAGCCACTCAGCGGTGCACGGCCCCGGAGAAACCCCTCCCGGGCCCGCCTCCCTGCGATCCTCCTCTTCTGGCAGCTCCAAGTGACTAATTTTTGTCATATGACTGTGACACCAAATGGAGTCGGGTTCGCGGAACTAGCTGCCTGCCGGAGGAGTTCGCTGCTCCAGCCCCAGCGCCTCCGCTGGGTGCAGCGGGGAGAGAAGGAGGCTGGGGGGCAGCGGGGAGCAGCGCGCCCCAAAATGCCACCCACCTTGTTCCAGAAGCTCTTCAACAAGAAGCCCGGGCTGAGTTCTCCTGCCAGGGACTCCAGGGAGGAGTGTGTCTTCAGGTAACGCGGGGGGAGCCCTGGGCAGCCCTTCCCTCTCTCTCGCCCGTGCTCACAAACTTGGACCAGTTCGTTACTTTCTAGCCTGTTTGCCTGATGCAAACTACTCCTCGCCCCTGCTATGGAAGAGGCCAGAGAAGAGAGGATCGGGGGGGGGGGGTGATTTTGCGCTCTGTCTGGAGGGCTCTGGTGTGCAGGATTGGATACACTGACTGAGCTGGCCCCCTGCAATCCTCCCCTCCCCCGTTTGACACACACATTTGGTGTGTTGCCTCCTTTCCCTTCTTCCCAGCCCCTTTCCCGGGAGAGCCCTGGGAGTGGAGAGGCTTCTTGGCCTGGGTTCCTCCCGCTACACAAGAAGCTGGACGGAAATCCCTGATGCGCTTTTTGCAATGCACTGGGACGCATGCAACATTGTTTCTCCCGAGTGTTTCCTAAAGGTGCCCTCCGTCTATTCTCCTCCAACGCAACCCCTTGGGGATCCCGGCCCCCCGAGCCCTTCGCTCTGCAACAAGTCTTATTTTCATTGCCGTCCTTCTTTGTAAAAAAGTTGCAAAGCAGAAGTAGCCTCTTAGCGCTTCCCAAGATGGGTTGCTTCCTCTGATTAGGTTGTGACTCTTCCTTTTGGCGTGGGTTGGGATTTCTCGCTTCCCTTTCCCCGTCCTCCAATTCCTTTGTTAACTTTATTTTATTTTATTTTATTTTATTTTATTGCCTTTGATGTTTTGACGCACTTTTGAGGCTGCAGATTTAACAAGCCCCCTAAAAAAGACGCCATTCTTTTGACTTTCTTGAAGTGGCGAGGTGGTTGCTATCTGGAAAGAGCCACCTTAATAAATACTAAGAGGGAAGAGCAAATATGAAATGCAGGCTGCCAACAGAAGTGTAAGGTTACTCTTAAAATCTGTCATGATCTAACCACAACAAAACTGAATCCACTAAGCTTCCAAACACAAGACTGCAAGAAAAATGCTTGCACCCTCCTTACAAATGCTTCGCCACCTTTATCTCTTAACATTAAACGTTTCAATTTAAGCTGATTGTATGTGTAATTCCCTGTATTTCTAAAATGCTAACAGAATATGGTTTTTTGTTGTCTGGAGAAAGCAGATCCCTAGAGATCCAGGGACGCCTGTGTGGTATAAGGACTTGAATTTGCAGTTTTTTATGAGGACTCCAGTGTAAAGTTAAAAATCAGGACCAGAACTACACTTTTGGCAGTTTGTCCCTATTGTAACTTATCAAAATTCTAAAAATAAGATTAAAGGTTGATCTAGCCAAAGGTATTTTAGGGTCTATAAAATAACAGTAGTAATGGATAGACAGAGCAATAACCATCTAGTAGATTTGTGTAGAAAAATCTGGTCTAGTTGCAAACTATTAATTTAAACCACTATCATGACTTTGTAACTGACATGTAAATAACACTTTGCATTTGTTGGTGTGAATTGCGGGGTGTGAATATTTACATTTTAAATTGACTGCTTGGAACAGCTCTCCATTTAATATTTTAAATATCTTTGTAAGTTACATTACACAATGTGATGGGTAACATGTAGACCTGAGGGCTGCCCTCTGGATCTGTACTGGATTACAGGACCATCTTTCTGTAGTTCCTGAGACCCAGTCACTGCAAACATCGGGGATGGTAAATACTAAACATACCCATTTATTCTCTCAAGAAAACCATTTTCACAGCATACTGATTGATCTTCCATGTTTTTATGAAATCAGTGAAAAACTTTTTGAAATAACCTAGAATCCAGTGCCATAAATGTTGGAATACACCTGTAGCAAAATTGGTTTATAGCTTCCCAAACACCTCCATTTCATTTTCCAGCTGAGTAATTTATTTTATTTTACTGACATACTGGGTGGGCCAAAATTTCTTCTTTAACAGAGAGAGAGAGAGAGAGAGAGAGAGAGAGAGAGAGCCAATTATATTTTACCTGATTTTTATGCTGTCCAGACACTTCTTAATGATAAACTTCTACTGAGGATTTAGTGTACAACTCAACAGCTGTGTTCCATACACTAGGGATATTTAGGATTGTGTGTTGTAAGGAAGAAAATATTACTATATCATCTTCTGAGGTCTTCCTCCTCCCCTTTCTTTAATACAGAACACTGTGTGCCAGGACAGGATGCATATATTTAAAATTACCTCCCTGCTAGTACATTTAAGATATTTTTATATGATGAATCTGTTAGTGGACATATTCAGATTAAGTTTTATAATTTCAATATAAATGTAAATGGGGAAACATACTATGAAATGTTAATAAAAAGTGTCTTTCTAACCTTCTGTTACTATTATATTTTGCTAAACTGAATTTTCCAGTGTTAAAATTCTGAAAAATTGGTCTTTGTTAAGCGCTGTGCTAAAAATCAATGAAAAGCATAATAGTTATATTCTTATAAAAGAAAGTGAAAGTACATCCAATCCTTGGATAATGCACAGGATTCCTTTAAAGCTATAAGGTTATGAAACAGGTATTTTACTTTAAATAAGATCTTGCCTGAATTCCAAATATTGTATGAAAGTAGAATCAGACTCATACTTCATGAAAAAGAATACAATTTCGCATATGATCTGGATAGCCCACTAGTTGCTGGTGAGCACTTAAATCTCCAGTGCATCCTCAAAATATTTGTTGTGTCTTGGTGAGAAGTTCAGATGGGGGCCGAGGATGGTCATGTGGTTAAAATACTAGCTTCTCTTTATAAGACCTAAATATTATTTTGTCACAGGCTTCCTTTATGCAAGTTGCATAATTTCTCTCTGCCTTAGTTTCTCTATCTATAAAATGGAGATAATTCTTAGCTAAGAAAGGCATGGGATGATGAACATGGTATGTGAAGGTTTGAAGGAATGTGCTATAGAAGGACAAAGTATTTATTAGAATATTAGGGATGAGACTTCAGAGAATGGGTGCATATGTTAGGCATATATGGCATTATCTTGCATCACTAAACTCAAAGATGCAATTGCTGTTGATCTCAATAGGAACAGAATTAGAGCCCTAAATCCTTATTGAGGTTCCTAGAGTAAGTGGCTCAGTTTTTCAAAGCACCCATCAGTTTTATTTTTGAAAAATTGGGTCACGTATTTCAGAGCCTAACTGGGACACATATTTAAAGGGAAAATAAGTCTTGGTCTGTGTATCTGGAGGCTGTTTCCTTCTTGAGGCAACAAGTATTGCTCTTCGGGCAACAGTTAAATAGAACATTGACGTGCAACTGTAATGCAGGGCTTTGGAACTGAGTAACTGACATGTGAGTGATATTAAGGTAACAAGGTGCAAGTTACTCATTTTTCCTTCACTATGAATACATTCTGCATTTGAGTCATGCTTACAAAATTGTAATGAAATTTTACCAGTGGAGACACATTCTGGAATCCTGAATTTAAAACACTTTAATGAAAGCAAATTTTACTTGCTTTTTCCCCCCTCTCAAAAAAAATAAATCCCATGTGTGCGTGGAGTTTTGCAAGGCAAAATCAAGTGCAACTATGGGAAATGCTTCAGGAATGAGTGCTGATTAAGTTAGCAGTTGCAGAGTTTTGTGAGTTGTAATGTAGCACTACCTGATTTAGTATATCATGGCCCAATCCTTCAAACATTTCCATGCATGTGGAAATATTATCTTGGCTCCTTTTGAAAATCCTAGCTGAGATAATGAGGGGACCTGATAAATGTCTAGAAAATAGGGATGCTACTGAACGTTTAAAATGTTAACTGGTGAAATGCTAGATTTAACCGGTTAACCCTGGACCAGCCTTGCATCATTCCCTAGGCCCGCCTTGCAACGGGGCTGCTCCCGTCAGGCCAGGCCAAGCCAAGTTTGCTGTGCAGCACTGTGGGCTGGGGAGGGGAGGGGGGAGGCAGCTGCTCTTCCAGTTAACTGGTTACACAGGAAGCATGCCAATAAGGCCCATGCTTGCCAGTTGAAAGACAAATTCAAATTCTTAGAAAAGGAATTATATTTTCACACAATGCAAAACTAACTTGTGAAACTCTCTATGATCTCATTGAGGCCAGAAGCTGAGGAGTCAAAAAATGATTAGACATCTATGGACAACAAGAATATCCACATTATAATAGTAATTGTGCATTAAAAAGTACCCCTAGGAATTCTGGAAGGGATATAAACCTTTAATATGCTGGAGGCATAAAATAATCTATACTATAGGAGTAAACTTTTCTTGGGGCACTTTCCACCATAAACTAATTGCTGCAGGATTTCTTGAATCTTGTTCTGAAGCATCTGTTACTGGTCACTGCTGATGACAGAATGCTGGATTAGGCTGACCGCTGGTCTGGTAATTTGGCAATTCCTATATTTTTGTGTTCCTGTTATTAGAAACAAGTATGACAGTTCTTTGGAGTCCATCTAGATTTAAAATTGAGGGTGTACACATTTATAAAAGCTAGTAGTAATTCTATGCAATCAAAATTCTCCAATCTATGTACAAAAATAAAACAAAAAATTAAAATCTTCGTAAACAGATGAAAATCTGTTTTTCATCTTGCTAAACTGTCATCTTCACAATAAATCCTGAGTTGCACTGTTTATATTACTGAATGCTGGAGGCAGAGGCAGAAAGTGTACATTTACATTTATTTTGTGCTAATAGTGCATTACAGTTCTGTATTGATTGTCATCAGTTGCCTCAACATTCAGTTTGTTTACTTTTTCTGAAAATGAAATATTCTTTTATCACAAGTCAAAAACTCAGAAGGGATATTCATGATTTAATAGCAGGCTACATCTGTCTACACAGTTCAAGTGTGTTGCTCACTTTGAACCTTTTAAGAGATGGATCCTCAACCTCATTATAGACTCACCCCACTAATGTGAACAAATATAGGCCTATAATGGTTAATCTGGTTTGATGCATGCTTGTGTTCTGTGTACGACAGAGCCATTGAGCATCATTATGCTACAGAACAGTTTGGTGCACTTGAGTTCTCCTGTGCATCTAGCTATTTCTCCCCGTTAGTAGGAGGATAGACTGAACATGAGCGTTCCTTCAGGCCTGGGTTCCATAGACCCTCTCAGTGTGTTGTTTGATCTCAGAAGCTCTAAAGAATAATTTTCCAGTGTTGGGTGTTGTTCCATGAATGCCTGT